AGGTGTAGGGGGGTGGGGGTTGGAGCCTGGGGAAGGGGGTTCCCGCATACCCTGGCAGGATCTGGGATATTGTGGGTCGGAAGTGAGGGACAGACAGACACAAATACACACACTGTCCAGCAGGTACCTGTGTGGTGGGGAAGAGACATGGTGTGTGTGTGTGTGGGGGGGGGGAGCCAGATTGAGGCCCCCATGGTGAGGGTGGTAGTGGGGCATGGGCTGAGGTAAATGGGGCACTGGGGCTGAGGTGGGTCATGGGATGGAGCTGTGGGTGGCTCATCTTGGCTCTGGTGCCCCATTCACCCCAGCCCCTATCTCTGCCCCATTCCCTCCCTCACTGTGGGGGCCTCAATCAGCCTCTCCCACACCCCTTCCCTCCCCGATGCCCTTTCCCCTTCATATACTTGCCTGCTGAGTGCTGCTCCAGATGCCACCAGATTGCGTTCCTGGCTGCCTGCAGGCTATGGCTGTGTGTCTGTGTGTGCCCCTCCTCCCCTTCCCCCACCCCTGCTGCTGCAACCCATAGCCTGCACCAGGGCTGCACTGTGGTCCTCTGTGCTATCACTGCTGCCCCACAGGGTGGCCCAGAGGCAGCAGTGATGATGGTGGAGTGGAGCCCGGGTGCAGTCTCCAAAACCATGCATGTAATTTCCACATTAAAAAAATTAACAAAAACAATTAATGTGTTAACCATGACTAACTGACAGTCCTGTATTAATTATACAAGTTTCCCTTGCTTTATGCTGTACATGCTTTCCTGGAAAAGGGTGCATAACTCAAATTTGCATAAAGGGAACCCACTTTACAATGTAACAAATAGGGATACATTCCAAGACCTTGACTATACTGACCCCCAGGCCCATTTCTACCACTTTTACAAGACAATTTTGGTACCCACCAACAGGAGAAAGGGGTAGGAGATAAGCTACCAGGATGTTTAGAAGCCATAATGGGGATGGCAACTACAGAAATGCATGTCGCAGACAAGTGAGAAACACAGATCCACACAGGATGTGTATTTTGGTGTGTGTCATTCCCACAATGCACTGCACAAAGCAGCTGACTGCAGGCTTCCACCACATTGCTTGCATATGAGTGAATTTACCTTGCATATAACTAATTTTTGGTATAAAAAGGGTCATCACAAGAGTGAATTTGCACATACAGAACCCCTATAAAGCGAAGGAAACCTGTAATACATCTCTTATATAAGACATTTGTCTTGGGTCTATAGGTAACGCATCTTTGAACAATGAACAGAAAGAAGGTCCAGGTTGTCCTCCTTCAGTGAAGGTATGAATGAAGTTTATGTATAGAGGCCGCGTCTATATGAGACGCTGACCATGAAGTAGCCCATGACTAATGTGCAGTAGTGTTGCATGGCAGAAAGCGTGACACAAAGCTACTGCACAGTGGTCTTGGGCTTCTGCAGAGTCAGCATCACGAAAATGCTGTTTAGCAATGCTACTGCACAATAACTCCAGTTACTGCTCAGTCAATGTCTCATGTAGACCTGGCCAGTGATAAGTAACTCAAGACTTCAGGATGAAAAGGTGGCAAAGGGTGATTGGAGACTGAGCAAGAACAAGACTTGTGCCTAACAATAGTTCTCGGTATGCACTGAGGCCCTTGGGTACTTGCTCCACTTGCATGCATTGCTGCTGCTAGATACAAGGGTCATGCATAGGCTACCATAGTTTAAGTGCATGTGTAGTGTGTTCCTTTTGCTTTGGAAGCAACTTGTTTCAGAAGTATAACTGTCTTAATTTTCATAGGTGTTAAGTGTCCACAAATTCTGAAATTATGTTACAGACCAGCAGTCTCAACCTTGTTAAACTCAAGGCTCCCCTTGGAAAATGCCAGCTCTTAGTTTTCACTTATTTCTTGACTATGGAAAATTAATATAGCAATTCTTCTGTTGCAAAGAACTCAGAAAGGTCTATTTACTGTTCTGTTCAGAACTTCTTAAGCACCTTATTCTCAACAAATGCAATGATGTAGTTTTATCATAACACAATAATAATAATTCTAATTTAAAAGAAACATTATTTTGTCATCAGCAAAGAGTACAAAAGCCAGTGGAAGTAACATGAGACTATTGGTACATAATGATCAGTGTGAAATAGAAATTCTTATTTATGAATAATTTTATCATAACAAATTTTACCATAACTTATTTTTTCACAGTCATATACATAAAAATCATAGCTGGTAAACAGTAAAGTCAGTAAATTATCTGATAATGCCCATTTTGGTATCAATTATAATAATATAAACAGACACAGATATCCAGATAATAAATAGGCCAGAGGTCATAGTTAAGTCTGTTGTTTGGGGATGACATGCATTTCTTTGTGTTTAATAAGACCTAATATGTAAATTTATAATGTCAGCAGTATAAATTTTAAAATACCTTTAACTTCTCAGATCGTGTGTTTAAATGGTTGAGTTTCTGTGTATAGGATTAGTAAATACACATCCCTTGACAGATTTAATTTGTTTAAAAAATATGCGGATGGACTGTATTAGAGGTCTGATGCAACTACACTTTTCTGTCAGACAAAATTTTGAAAGATTAATTCCTATAAAGAAAATAATACTGTACATTTCAATATTTTGTCTGCTTGCAAGAGTGAAGCAGAAAGCTGGAAGTTGGGGAAGGCACAACCAATACATGTGTGCCATGGATTAGCTTTTGGCAAGCTGCCCAGCAGAGAGGCTTGGATGGGATTTTAGCAATACTTAAGCCCTCTTTTGTAATAGATTTTTCAGGATCAGGAAGAATTTTTTTTAAGAGCTATTATTGTGCTGGTTCAATTTTGGACTTGACACCCATGAAAGTGTCATGTCTGTCCCCACTTCCCCTCCCATAATACTTCAAAATTAGCAGACAGTGAATAACTATTCTACCCTAATTCTGTTCTCTGACTCCTGTCACTAATTCTATTAGCTGTTTGATCTGAATGTTGTCTTTTTTTCTGTAGTTTGCGAAGGCAGCTGACTGAAACTGGTCACTTAAAACTATGCAATGTAGTCCCTTTATATGTAGTTACCCCAGCACTTATTAATTGCTCAGGTTTTAATTTTCTTATAGGAATTGCTTCCCAAAGCTTTGAATCATTATTTAAAAAGAAGATTATAAAACTGTCTAGAGTAAGTAGAAACAAATTCAGTAATGTTTAATAGCAGTTTCACTCAATTTACTCGAAAACCAATAACCTAGAAATGCTGCTTTTTGATGTGTGAACAGTTTCCCCTCATACATTCCCTTGGATACTCAGGAGCAAGCATGTGGTTAGACTTATTTTGTAGTGTAACATGATGATACAACATCAGTACAGCATGATTTAATACCACAGCTATACTTCTGGGAATTTTGGCCCAGAATATTATGTTAGAGCCCCTCCAGTTTAACAGCCCTGCTTTCTCTTCCTATACTGTTTCCATGGTAACATGTCTTGGTAATGAGTCATGTCAGTCAACTGAGATTTTATACAGCAGTGTCCTGCCAAAGGTAGCTGTTTCTTTAGCAGTTACTTTTTTTCCATAGAATTGCTTGTGGCAACTGTAAACATAGCAAAGAGAGTTTCTTCCCATTACAGTAAACCCCTGTCAAAGTCGGTGAGGATACAAGCGGGGTGAACGTTCATGCAACAATGTTCTAATAATACTAGCCATGGCTGGGTGTGAACTGAGCAGTGCTGACTTGTGTTTACAGTAATGTCTTTTCACTTGTAACCCCAATAATGCGAATTTTCATGACAATGGATGTGAGAATGCTGATTCTTACACCAACTTACTTGGCTCTGTTCTTCATTAGCAAGTGAAGGCAGTACTTAGACATTTAAAAAAAATCATAAACAAGAAAAGGGCAAATGAGAGGTGCACCGATACATCAGTCCAATATCAGATCGGCACCAACATAAAGAAAATTTATTATATCGGAAATTGGCCATATCAGGCCAATCATTTGGCCAATAAATGGCCCATGCAAGCCACAGTGCAGCACAGGCGGTGAGAAGCACAGCCCTGCAGCTTGGAGAACTGCGTCCAGCTGGTAAGTCTGGTGTGGTGGAAGGGGAGGAGGGAGGGAAGGGGCTGGGGGGGGCAGATCAAAGCCTGTGGTGAGGGAGGAGTGGGGCTGGGCCTGGGGCAAGCGCTGCCCAGT